ATTTATTCGAATTATCCATTGTTTAGTAAATCTTTGCTATTCACTTTGAAAGTAATTTCTTTTTCACTCAAATTACCTATGTTTTTAGTAAATTTTTGTTATTTACACTTATGTTCCAAACTGCAATCTTTATCTAGATGTTAAAGATATTTGTATAAATTCCAGTTATCTGTTTACCCATGATTTAAAACCTTCTGTTTCATCTGCAATCCCTACCTCTCACATCCCCTTTTCTCTTTCTGAGTATCACTGGCCACATCAGAATGTCAGTGAGTGTCAACTGGAGTTCCAGGTGTCAGCCACCAGAAGGAAAATCTCTGATGGGCCAATCTCATTGTGTCAAGGCCATAGAACTGCAGATCTCAGAATGTCTTTTGCTTCTGCTGTACCTTTACAAGTTTGCTGCAGCGATCTTTCTCTGGTATCTAGCATGGTGTGAGTGGATGTGGGGAGACTTCCACTGCCTGAAATATAGTGTGTTTATCTCTTGGAAACATCCTGTTTTACTAGGCATTTTTAACCTGTGGATTATGAAGAAGATGACCTTTCCCTAATTTGTTCTGTCTATTTTGATAATAATAGTAGTATAGCCTATACAGAGTTTTGATGAACAAAAATAAATACAAGGACAATTTCACAAGTTAAGGCCTATGAGTTCCACCTTAGGAGAGCTGCTAAGGTTAGCACCCGAGTCAAGGAGCGAGGCTAGCTCTAATTCTCTTAATGCTGAAAAGAGGCAATTGCGTATCATTAGCTAAAACAAAGCTTCAAAATAACTTCAAGTTAGAGCAGATCCCTTGCTAATAGTTTTAAGATAAAATAACTCCAGAACATAAGGTAAAGTTCACAAGGACGCATAGTTGATGTTCTGATTCATTATGCTAGGGTCAAAAATACAAAACAGCCTGATTGTTGCTAGCTCCCCTTACACTCATAGCATATGATGATCCTAGCCTTAATCAGAGAGGCCTGTCCTTACAATAACAGTGGGAATTGAAGACTCATGGTAAAAATGAAAAGAACAAGCACCATTATCAGCTTAGCCAAAAATAGGTAAATTATACCACCCCTCTAAGACTTAAGGAACATTACACAAGAGGTTTTGGGAAGTGTGTGATAGGTGGATGGACTTAAGGGAAACAAAAGACCATTCTCAGTACTACCATAACTTTTATAAGTCATTAACTCACAGCAACTGAGGTTACCTGCACCAAACCCACATAATATTGGCCCTATCGATAATCATTCAATGATCAGGAAGGGCACACTCTCCACCTCTAAACTTCTGGGTGTCAGTAGACTGGGAAATGGAAAAAAATCACTGTCTTTAGTAGTGAATGATATGAGGTAAGACCAAAAGGTACTAGTGGATAGTTTCAATCCCACAGGCACACAGTCTAAACTGCTTAATTAGTGGATCATAAAGCAAAATGAATAGATAAGAATGTGTGAGAGAGATTTTTGGGGAGAGGAACAGGTAGACATGTGTGGGAGGGATGTGGAATATGATAGTGACCAGTCTTCAAGGTGCATTTATATGGAATTGAAATATAATAATAATAATAATAATAATAATAATAATTTTAAATGCATCTTCTTCAGTATGATAATTTTGTCTTACCCTGTCCTTGTTGCTTATGACCATACTAGAAAGAACTAGCTAGGCTGTCAGTTATAAGATTAGAGAAAGAAGATATTTGAAAGAGTACAAGAGAAGAGGATAAATTCTTGAAGAGGTGTAAACCGAACAGGAATTGAAAACATAAAAGTTTTCTTAATAAAATAATATAAATAATAGGGTCAGTTAGATGGGTAAGAGTGGATAAGAGTGTGAGTTTTATGTAGTGGTCCAAATTAATCTGAAATTACATCTATGGGTCTCTAAATTTGTTCTCATGTACTGTGCGAGGACACTTCTCTGATGATGGCCGAGCAAGGCACTAATCTATACATATAGCAGAATGTCATCAGGAGTCATTTTATTTAGCGAAAGCATGGTATTTGCATGGCATTTCCCCTAGGTACCTACCCGGACTATCTGGTCTCAGATTCTTGGGTACTGAAGCAGGGTCAGGAATGGGCTCCATCTTATGCCTCAAAACCAACTAGAGGTCGGTTGGCTACTCCCTCCATCTTTGTGCCACTACCTCACTACAGCAGGTTAACTTTGTATAGAAGAGTGAAGAGTTTATAGGTGGGTTGACGTTTATCTTCCCTTCATGTAAGTATGTAGAGTACCAGGGACACCCGTTAGTGTAGGCAACAACTCAGCGGCTCCATGCTCAATGACTTGCATAGGTATTGTCTTCAGAAATAGGATCTTCCCATCCCTGAAAATTTTATATGCACTAAACACAGTGAGAGCAGGCATTTGATAGGATAGGATCATATTTATTAGGAATTTAATAACACACAGGAGCACAGCACCTGGACATTTCTCCAAAGGATTTAACTAACACTAAATAAGTTTCTTTCTTTGAGTGTTGTTTATTTCTGATTTTTAAAGCAAAATACCTCTTCAAGCAAAAACACTTTATTACGTATGCAATGGAGTATTTTAGATTACTAAATTAACTTTTGAAAGAAGATTTTGTTCATAGGCCAGTTTTATCTATGGAGCAACAAGACTAAACTGTAGCCTACTGTTGGAGTAAAATAAAAATAAAAATAAGCACTTCCCTCCACAAACTTCAATCCAGTGTTGTTGTTCCATAAAACGGGACGCAGACATGCATAGGGAAAATGCTGTGCACATCACTATTCCTCCCCAGCAAGACATTCACACACTGAGAGTAAATAAGATTTTCCATTTATTTATTTATTGTAACATTAAAGCTCAATAAGTCCTTTGCAAATAAAGAAAACGTGTATGCAATGGAAATGGAAAAAATATGACACCTATCCTGCTACCCCCTTTATCCTTCGTACTTCAGGGTTTGGGGTTGGAATTCTAAGTATACAATGATAGCCATGGTCCATGGAGTTACCCTCTAGTCATGGTTTAGAATATGCTGTTAAGGTGGCTAAGAGTAGGCCAAGAATGGGTGCAAGAAGCCAGATACAGGAATAAAGACCCCACACCTCACTGATACATACAATCAATCAACAAGGGTCAATAATTACAGAGTATAATGGCTTCCAGATGCCATGGGAGAGGTAGCTGGCAAGGAAAATGATGATAGCTAATAAAAGGTAGAAAATTTCATTTAGATGGGTAAGATTAGCAGCACTGCTCTACTGCACAGGAGCATGATTGTGATAAATACTGATGCATCTTATAATGCAGAATTTCAAACTCCTTAGACTTTCAATGTTACCACGAATGTAAGAAATTGCTAATAATTCTGATCTAACATTCCCCATGATAAACACGTATCAAAAATCATAATATGTCCCCAAAATGTATATAATTTTGTTTACTAAAAGAAAATTTAGAAATCATCAGGCCCTTGATATAAAATGTTTCCTAGGAGATTAATTAGACCTATAAATAATATGTAGAAAATTTGAAAATGTACTTGGTGGCGGAATAATATTCATATTGTTACTGACAATATTACAAATGAGTAGAGTCAACTTTTCATCTATATTTCAGAGTATAAAACTGATAACAAAAGCCACAGATGAAGAAACACACCAGGTATACTCATACACCAGGTATACTCATTTTTTTTTCCCCAGAGGTGGTGGTAAGTTACTGCTTCCAGAGCAAAAGTTTGTTTTGTATGAATTGAGAAATGATGGTATGGTCAAATTCCTAGTGTGGTAGTCTGAAGTTTTCAAGTTCCAGGTTTGGGTGTTACTTACTAGGAGGAGGTGGGTATGAAATTAAAGTGGTTACAAAACATAATTGAGACAGAAGTCTCAACAGTGACTGCTTTGAGTGGACAAAGAAACTATGTATGATAGAGGAAAGCTAAGCAACAACCTCTTTTCTGCTTCCCGGATGCCAAGGACACATAAGCAGGGCTCTTCCCTGTAACTGTACTGAGATATTAGGGGAAAGTATAAGTCTTGCATCCACCATTCCAAAAGCTCATCCAGCAACAAAGGCAGCATGGTGTACTGACCTTCCTTTGCAAGAGTCCTCTACTCGTCCTTACATAAGGACACAAATCCAATGAAACTCTTATCTAAATGCCTAATTGATTCATGTTGTAATTCTCTTGTGAATGTGGTCTCAAATGGTTTTTAGGTAATAATGCTGCATTTTTAGAATTTTACTGTGATTCCACACAGGTTGGGACTGTCTGTGCAGGAAAGTCTATGGGAGACCACTAAATACTGAAATTCTCTTTCCTTCATAATAGAAATGACTTGTGGAATACACAGATGAAGTAAGAGGTCTTTTTAATAAGTGAGATTGCTTCATGCCTCTTCAGACAGACTTCCTCAGCAGGCTTCAAAGAGACACTCCAGGAAGGAGAGCACCATGGAGACTTTCAAAGTCCCAAATGTTAACTGGGATATTACATTTTTCTTTGATTTTTTTTTTTTTTGGAATGGTAAATTATGCTAAGAAAAAATAAAAGGGAATACTGTTTTCTCTGAGACAATACCTAAAATATCTTATCAAGACATTTTATTGCTTTAATGTGACCCTTTTAAAAAACATGAAGGTTCACTTTGCATAACTCTAAATCAATAAGCATGTACAAAAACATTATAAATTTTATAATTGTGTATATATATACATATGTGTGTGTGTGTGTGTGTGTGTGTGTGGTTTTCTAATGAGTATGATGACATTTTACAAAGAATGGATAATTTTAAATGGAGGAAGAAGTCTCACTAGATATTTGTTTGTAAATGTTTATGAATAAAAACATAAATTATGAGAGTATATGTAGTTAACTTGGTGAACTAGTCAATGCCAACTTAAGTCTGTGATATTTTAATTGCCAGGAAAGAGTTTTACAAGTCCTCTTTCAAACTAGTTTGGGATTTGGCATGGATTATGTCCTTAAATAAAAATTGAAAATTTTTGATAGTTATGCTACCTGAAGAGTTGGTGTTGGAGGTAAGTTCCAGTCTTCCTCTTGAGCTCCCTACATAGTAAACAATGAGTCATGAGCTAAACCTCATTACACAGAAGCCAAGTAAAACAAAAGTATCTCAAATAACATTAGAAGGAATGTACTGTCTTTGTAGATTGTGATTTACAAAATATGTGCACTGAAACATAAGCACACAGCTATGTCTGTAGGGAGAGGAAGGGGAAGAGAAGATAGGAGGAGGAGCAGGGAGAAGGAAAGAGGAGAGAGGAATGGAAAGAGAGAGAGAGGGAGAGACTCCAGACTCTCCATCTTGATTCCTCCTGCCTCCTTCTTCTTTCCTCTAGCGACTTGCAAGAGAGTGTTCTCTTGTGCCTCCTCCGACATACTTCCCCAGATCACTTCCGCCCCTGGCTCCACCCCCATTGAGCGTGGTCAGTGCCACAGAAGGAGACAGAGTGAATATCCCACTACAGTATATCCTTGTTGGAGGACGTGTATCCCTGGGGTTGGGCTTTGAGCTTTCAAAAGCTAATGCCAGGCCCAGTGTGTCTCCACCTACTACCTGGGATGAGGGTCAAAATTCTCAGCTTCCATGACTACCTGCATGTCCCCATACTCCCCACCACAATTATAATGGTCTAATCTTTTGAAATTATAACCAAATCCCCAATAAGTAGTTACTTATATAAGAGTTGCATTGATCATAGTGTCTCCTTCCAACAATAGAAACTAATTGAGGTAATGAAAATTTTGGTGTATTAATTCTGAAGAGAGAAAGCTGAGGGAAAGTTACAATAAATTAGGTTGATGCTTTATGAAAAAAACTATTGTTTTGAAATAAGACTAGGATTTTGATGGACAGAAAAGTAGTCCATTATCATGAAACCAAAAACACAATGTTTAAATAATAACTTCATGTTTACAATAGCAACGATAATCTGACAGGACTAAAGCACACAGCATAAATTTGAGAGTATTATAAAGAAAGAGAATTCAGAACTCTGCTCACTGTCTTGGTGACTGTTCATAGTGTTATCATTTTTCTTTCTCAGATGATTTTAAGGGCTTCAACAGTACCCTTTACCAATTATTATATTTTAGAAGAACAGGGAGATTCAGAGGCTATAGAGGCAAGTGCTTCTAATACTTTCATTTTCTTATCTATATTACTTTTCATTGTTAGGTAAACTCCTTCTGACCATTAGTCCTGCCTCCCCTCCACTACTTCCTTATAAATGCTTAGATTTTTTAAAAAATATATGTCATAAACAGCCTGCATAATTTTGCTTTTCACAAGTGTGATGATAATACCCCAAAGTACTTGTTCAGACAATTTAACTCGCAACTGTGCCATTATATTAAATGCATTTTATTACCTTTGTCTTTCAGAACCGAAGAACTCTTCCCAGATTTTTCTTTTTTCATTTCTGGAAGAGGTCAAAGGAAAGAAATGTTAAAATAGCCAATGATATTTATCACATGATTCTTTCTATGTTCTGCTTATAGAGGCTCCAAGAATTGGAGGATCTCTTCATTGATATTCAATATCCAGCTGCCTTCTGATCCATGTTATAGATATGGATCTAACAGGTCATATTTAGGGAGACATATGTACATGTAAATAGACATATGCATCCAGTAACAATTAGTAAAATGGAGGCCATGAAGGGGAGAATGGATGGACATATGAGAGGGTTAGGATGAAGGAAAGGGAACAAGAAATGTAATTAAATTATAACTCAAAAACAAAATTTAAAAAATACTATGGGGGTATTAAAGAAAACTAGCATCATATGCTGAGTATGATGACACAATATCAGGTTCTGTGTAGTCATAAAATCCTACAGGATGTGTATAGTTTGTTAGTTCTGCTACCTAAGAAAAGTTAAAATAACTTTTTCAAGCCTGTGAGTTAGGATACCAGTCACATAAACTAACATTTTTCTGCCTTAACCTCATCATTAAAGATACTAAAAGCTTTAGGCACATAGTAGGAAGGCAGATTTTGGAAGATACAAGGAAATTAGACTAACAGAGATGAATTGGAGGATTTCACCAATGAGACAGAGAATCCTAGGCAGGACAGATCCATCATTTAGATATACGGTGACATAAGTTACTTGTAACTAACGGAATGCTGTTAAAGTGACACTTTGTAACTTGAAGGTCAACTCTGGAAATGTCATGCAGTTTCCAAGTTGAAAATCTAGTGACACCATCTCTGGGAATCCCAGTGGTATAAATTCAAGTTCTCCCAAATGCTAGAAAGCATAGGTAAAGATGGCCAAATACTATCCTTATTTGAGCTTTTAGCCACCAGCTAGCATCTATTGCCAACCGACGGAGAGAAATCCCTGCCATACACAGTAGTCAGATATTTCACAAAACTTTAACCTAACCTGACACTTACTTGCTATTTTATTAGTCACCTTGGTGAAAATCATTTAGTTTATTCTTTCTGAATTCTAGTTGAATCACAAGCAAACTAAAATCAGATAGTGAGTGAAAAAAGTGGTCACCTGAGAAATAAAAAAAAAAAAGAAAAGAGAAGAAAAACACTGCATCGTGCCTCTTTGTAGACACAGAAAGGATTTACTACATCCACCTTTAAAATGGAGAAAGGTAGGCAAATCCTTGCAAGATTATTTTTAGCTGAGAAAAAATTTACTGAACAGCATATTCCATTTTAACTGTGTAAGTGAGGATAAATGTATACTATGTTTTTTGAAGTTTAGAATAGCTCTTAGGGCTACGGTAGAATAACATTCCAGTATCTGAGATTCAAAAAACAGGGAAGAAAATCTTTAGAGATATGTAACTTTTGGAATGTGTTATGTTTTCCATGTTAGCAAGATGTCACAAAACAGAATAATTCAGAAGGCAATTAAAGGAACCCTTAAGTGTAGCTTACATAAGAGGGTTATTGTAGCAAAACAAGTCTATTGATACATGAAAATTGTTAATATAATTACAATTATGTTATTTTTTTAAAAAAATATCAACCACACACAGATCCTGTTGGTTCTTCAAATAGATTGCCTTTACTTAGTGCACAAACTTATTTCACAAAAGTACAATAAAAACAGAAGTTAAAAATAGTTTCCCTAATGGTACATACTTTTTGTTGTTGTTGTTGTTTGTTTGTTTGTTTTATTATAAAGAACTAGTGTTTTGAGTCCTAATGTTTTAGCTACATGTCTCAAACATACTAATAGCCCATACTGACATACCATAGGAACAGTAATTTAAAATTACATGTGCTATTGATTTCTATTTAAAAATAAAATACACAGACTGTGATCAAAATAACTATATAGAAGAAGATTTTAAAATGTACTGGATTAAAGATTATTCAGGTTGACCTAAAAATATTCAATTGCAATGTTTTATCTGAACATGACTAAAAGAATTAAGTTGAAGTGTTTTTTTTTCTTCTAATTCTATTCTGCAGAAGATCAAACGAATGCATATAAATAATATTTCTTCTTATAAGATTTTAATAAAAGGTTCATGGATGAGACACAAGACTGAAAAACCATAAGGCATATCATGAGAGGGAAGTGACATTAGCATTCTTCCTGGCAAAAGTATATTTTCTTTCAATCCCAAACAACAATTATCTAAGTGTTTTTAAAGGAATCAGCAACAATGAATAAACACATTAACTTACTTTTCATTATTCATTACCCCATATAATCATCTTTAGAAAGAACATTATGCACACATCATTTGGCCTCTTAAAATATTTTTTAATGTTTGTTTGAGAACTGTTAGATTAGCATTTTTTTTTTTTTTTTTTTTTGACTACATTCCCATTTTGGTGTTTTCTGTTTGTCTTAGAACCCTATCGCGGTTAAGTAAGGATCAGGATAAACAAATAGGCAGAATAGATGTTTATTCAGGGAGAAATAACTTACAACCTAGACAGATGAACACCAGGAAATTCAACCCGATCCTCTCCTGTCCGAGTCACGCCAGCAAGAGGGCCTTTCCTTGGTCTCCCTTCGACCTCCTTCCACAGGTCACTTCCGCCCATGGCTCCACCCCCCCAACGGGCGTGGTCAGTGCCACAGAAGGACTATCTCACTACAGAACCCCCTTTGAGCCGGGCATTGGTGGCACATGCCTTTAGTCCCAGCACTCAGGAGGCAGAGGCAGGCAGATCTCTGTGAGTTCGATGCCAGCCTGGTCTAAAGGGCTACTTCCAGGACAGGCTCCAAAGCAATACAGAGACGCCCTGTCTCGAAAAACAAAATAACAAGCAAAAACTTCGTTTTATTATAAATCTTTGTGTTTTATATTATACAACCTCTATCTCTGAATGACAATACAATTAAAAATCATGATAAAAGTTTGTTTGACAAAGTGCTGTTAGTCCTTGGAAACTGGTGAAATGTTTGTTAGGACACTGTAAACAAGGGAAATTGTATTAGTGTCTGAAAGTTAAATGACATAATTGGACTGGGGAGACTTAGTGAATTCTCAAATTTCCAACTGTATAACAAATAGCAATCAGCCCAACCACTTTGCAAACAAACTTGAAAAGTTTTCTTCTAGCGCTGGGAATGATCCAGAAACACCGGCGTGTACTTGTACTTTAGAAATGTGACATATACTATGGTCTAAGAATTCAAACCAATCATGGGTACGGGGTGTATGGAAGATGTATGTTGCTACCACTCAGAGACTTCTCCTGAAGTCATTTGGGTGCCCATTTCCTTTGATTAAATACTGAAATCATATTTAATTACCCTGCTTTGAGACTCTTCTGCTTGTCTGCAGAGTAGAGCTTTATTTTACATGCTCAGTCTAGTGGCCATCACACCTCAAACAAAAATGCCTCTTGGAATTCTAGAAATTCATATGGTACATTTTAGTTTTTTCTGTCTAGCTCTTTCAGAATATATAAGTAATACCTAATTATATACAAATAAAATCAGATCAGGACTTTTATGGTGTAAGGTTTTAGATTGCATTATTTTAACTTCTTTTTTTCTTAGCATTAATTTTTAATTGAAAACATTTTTTTTTTACAAATATATTCTGAGCATGTTCCCTCCCCTTCATATACTCCCAGGTACTCTCCACCTCCTCACCCTTCCAATTTTAAGACTTCTTTCTCTCCTTTTTTTTTTTTTTTTTATTAATTTTACACTTTAACTCTAGTACTCACCCTGTCCCCTTCTCCGGCCTGCCAACATTCCCCCATCCCTCACAAGACAGGGAAAGGAACAAGATCTCCTGAGCATATGGGAGGGGGGCAGAGAGTGGAGAGGGAGCTAGGAGAAAGAGAAAGGGAGGAGGTTAAAGCAAGTGGGATTAGGAAGATTGAGTCAGGGGAGGAACAGACAAAAGAAAAAAGAAAAAAAAAAAACATATTAGAGGGAGCCATTAGAAGTTTGAAGAGAAAACTGATTCTAGAGAAATGTTCAGAGACCTACAAGACTGACCCCAACTAACAATCTGAGCGAAAGTGGAAAGGCTACCATAAATGCCCTTCCCTGAAAATGAGATTGATGACTAACTTATCCACCATCATAGAGCCCTCATCTAGTAACTGATGGAAACAGAAGCAGACACCAGGAACTAAATACTGAGATGAACTGGAATCCAGATTCAGAGAAGGAGGACAAGCCCTGGTTACAGAAACCCACAGAGATAGCTGACCTGAACAAGGGGGAGTTAATGCCCCCCGACTGATGGCTGGGAATCCAGCACGGAACTGACGCAGATCCCCTGAACATGGGTCTCAGTTAGAAGGCCTGGGCAGTCTAAGGGACCTCTGACAGTGGAACCCGGATGTATCCCTGGTGCAAAAAGGACTTTGGGAGCATATTCCCCATGGAGAGATATTCCCTTAACTTAGAGGCAGGAGGGAGGGCCTAGTCCCTACTTCAAATGATTTAAATGACCCCACATGGAAGGCATCACCCTACATGTGGAGTGGGGGGGGATGGGAGGGTGGTTGGGGTCATGGGTGGGAGGGAGATAGGGTGGGACGAAGAGAGGGCTGGGATGGATATGTAAAATAAGAAAAAACAATTAAAAAATTTTTAATAGTTAAAGGAAAAAAAACTGTATGAGGACAGCGACAGGCTACAATCTTATAAATAAAGTAACTTTTAAAAAATAAGATGCTATCTTCCTTCCAATGTTCAATTTTGTCCTCTTTGTGAGAAATCAGGCAGCTTGAGGAATGTGATTTTATAGCTGGAAGTCATCAATTTTACTGTACTGATCACTGTGTGTATTTTTTATTCAGTTATGTTGCTGTTTTATCATTGTATCTTTGGAGCATAATTGAAATAAGGAATGGTGATTCCTCAACCAGAGATTTTATTGTTCAAGATTGTTTTGACTATCTGAAGATTATTGTTCCTCTATGAATTTTAAGATTCATTTTTCAACTTGTTTAATGAGCTGAATT